CACGTTTTACGCTATATATGTAGTCAAGAGGGGTTAAACAGACAGGGCAGAAATGTGAGCCGAGGAGGTGAGGAGAAAAAAAGGGGGCGGTGCACAAGGTTGTGAATGCCCGAGGGGCACAGCGACGTAAGCAACAGCAGCGTAAGAAACAGCACCGTAGCAACATTGCACCGCCACGTCGCACTTCAGACGGCGATATAGAAAAAAAAATAGGCCCTTAAATGAAACTGTCAGTGGCACTCCTACTACTGCCAGTGACCATCGACGGGGGGGTAACGTCGCACATGGTTAACACGTGTCCAGCGTGGGGAAAAAAAAATTATGAAATTAAAAAAACATTCTTCCTAAAGAGCGCCTCTACGTTATGCAAGAAGAGGAAACTCCTCCGACGTTGCACCAACGCAGAAAGGAATAGCTACACAAATGTGTACACAATTAGGAACCCACTAAAGTGTAAAGTAGTCGACAAGGTAAAGCTCGTAAGACAAAATGCTCTGCATGAAGTGTACAATCTGGAGATAGACCATGGGGGGATGTTCAAATATTTGGAGGGGCACTCATGCGGGGTGATTCCTTACTATGAGGAGGTGGCCCAAGAAGAGGATAGGAATACCTCCCAGGATAGGGGCAAAAAAAGGGGGAGGAAATGCGCAAGACTCTACTCCATATCCTCCAGTAACTCGGACAATCTCTCCATTGCCATTCGAATTCATACCTATGAGGAAGAAAAAAATGGACACCTCCATCTGCAGTATGGATACTGTTCAGGCTACATAAAAGGGTTAAAGAAAAATGATAACATATATTTAACAGGAGCACACGGATCCTTTCTTCTTCCAAACAATGTGCTTGAAGAAAACAGAAATTTAATTTTAATCGCAACAGGGACGGGTATCTCTCCTTACATAGCTTTTTTAAAAAAAATCTGGGGAATCCAGCAAGGTACCCTTCCACAAAACAAATCAACCTATAATGGAAAAATTTATCTTTACTATGGAGTGTACAATGAAGACTCCATTCTGTACATTCAGGACCTGGAGCATTTTGCGAAGATGCACCCGGATAACTTCCATGTGGAGTATGTCTTTTCCTCTATGAAAAACTCGGATGTCAGTTCGCATCATGTGCAGGACGAAATATACAGAAGGAGAGAAAACTTCCTGCGCCTTTTTAATGAGCTCAAATGCGAACTTTACATTTGTGGCCATAAATCCATACGGGGCACAATTATCGATATTCTCAAGGGGGAAGACCAAGTATTGGCCGCCGAGAAGAGGAAGCGCGTTCACGTTGAGGTTTACTAGGTTCGCTTAAAAACCCCATTGTTCGGTTTGCGACGAGAAGGGGAGTATAGTATACTTCTTGACATGACAGATTCGCAGCAGTATGATGCTTGTCCTGCCACTATCGTTATGGGGTGTATTGCCATTTTTTCTTTTTCTTCTTTTCTTCTTTTTTTTTGTGGATGCCGCGAGTGGGTCTAAAAAAAAAAATGTCACTCGTTTGGGATGTGCGTAGGGGCGTAAAAACAAGTGCACAAGCAGGTGCAGAAGCACATCTGCGTAAATGCATACCTGCTGACCGGTTTACTGCTGGACCGGTTTACATTTCCGCCGCCCGCGCCTTGGTCAGTCCTTCTTCTTCTCGCCGAATGCAGTAAAGTAACTAAGCAGCGAGTTGGACAAGATGTCGAAGCACACGTTGCAGCAGCAGAGGAATAACACCAGGACGCTGATCACGTAGATTAGCCACCACATGGCGTACGCCGCTGCAGATTGGGGGGGAAGGGGTGAGCATCAGTAGTAAGTAAGCGGTAGTTATCGACACTTATCGATAGTTAGCCTTAGTGTGCAGTTACTGGCGCCAGTCTGCAACGCTGCAGCGCGTGGAAGCTAACCCGGTGTGTGGTAAACCACGTACTTGGAGAGCCCCCTCGTGATTTGTACTGCGAAATGGAAAAAGGGGAAGGATAAAATTGCTCAGCATACCGCAAGCAATGCCAACCTGCACATGTACAGGAGGATTAGTATACGTGCAGGAGAGCAGCTTCTCATTGACATTCCTAAACTTACCATCGCAGGGGGGAGGCACCTCGACCTTTTCGCTCCCCCAATTAAGCATGGACGAACTCTGTTTATCCTTTTGAGTCCATCCATTGTGACACTTGCAAATAACTCTGTTCAGTTTATAGATAAAAAGACATGTGCCGTGCAGGCAAGGATTCGTTTCTGCCGATGAGCAGGGATTGTTTTCAATTTCGCAGTTCCTCCCCGTGTAGAAGTCTCCGCACTCGCATGAGTAGTAGGGCTTCTTGTCAATCGGTATGCACTTTCCTGGGAAGGCAAACAGGGGCAAGGCAAAATGACAAAATGGAAGTTGTGCGTGCAGTGGGCAGCAACAATCAATGCTGAGAAGTCAATGCTGAGCCGTCAATGGTGAACAATCGCAGCTGGGAGTAACCCCCATTCTGCTCGCCAATGCACGTGTGCGCTCCTCTCTGAAAAGCGAACCCCGTCTGCACAAAGAAACAGAGCATGATTCGTACATCCCGCGAATGTTACAGTCCCTCTCGCACATGTTCCATTTCTCCGTGCAATACACCCCCTTCTCATTAGCATTGCACAAGCATATCTGTTTATTATCATCCAAAATGTAACAGGCGTTTTTGCACTTGTGATTATCTGCACACTCCAGGCAGTTCAGAGTTCCTATTTTATTGTGCAAACAGAACAGCAAAAGTATGGTGATGACCCAGCTGGGCAGTGGGGCCATAACGAGACAAAGGGGGGAGGGGCGCGCACAGGATATGCGAAAGTGGGCCTCTGAGCGGGGGGAAATACCTACACAGCCATGTGTACAAGCACAGCTACACACTTGCCTGATGACACGTTTCCCAAGCGAAAACACAGGAGGGCAGTTAAACTGCAGAACAGGGGGTAAACACACTACTTCAAAATTATGCACAGTTTTTTTTTGAGCATCAGAATGGGTGGTCTTTAAAACATTCCAGCTTTTATTTTCTCATTTGTGAATTTTTTTTTTTTTTTTTTTTTTGCCAATTGGGTAAAGTGCGAGGATCAAACCGAACTTCTTCCGTTAGGTGGTTTTTCTCTCTCCAGATCATGAGTCACCTACTTCGGCGCTACACTGCTACGCATAACACGCCTATTTGTGGTAGTATATCACCCTTGTTGCAACCATTTTGGTTTTTTTTTTTTTTTTTTTTTCTGAGGCTCTCTTCACTTCTCCGCAGTGTGTCCAATCCATCCGCATCTGTTACACATGACGTGCTTCTTAGCGAGTAGCAACACAAGGAAGAAAAGAAAATACCTTTCATCGGGTCCAGTTACATGAGGCAAAAATTGAAGCGGTAGCTTAATTATGCATGGAAAATTTCGCAGTTCCTCTTGCGCTGAAACGGACGTACTACACAGTCGCCATACAGCACAAAAATGAGGGACTCCCCACGGAAGAGGAACGTACCACCGATGTGGATGAGGGGCAAGGTGTAAGTATCCTCCGCTCTAGAGGAACGTAACGCCCGATGAGCGGTGCGAAGGCAGATACTGCTCCCCTTTCCCATATCGAAATAGTAATTTGGAGCAACTCTTAGAATGCACGGAAGGGTTATTCAGAAAATATCATTTAATTTGTTTAGGTAAAGGATGAAGCAGCCATTATAGGTAAGCATGTACATGGGAACATCACCGCCACGTCGCCCTCAAGGAGCGGGGGCATGTGCAAATGTAGCAAAGGGGAAGCTCATTCAAAGGAGGAAAAAAAGTATCAAGAAAGGAGACAAAAAAGGGAAAATAAAAGGGGAAAAAAAAGGCAAAAAAGGGGAGAAAAAAGCAAGGCGTTCATCAAATAAAATCGCGATAACTTCCAACAGCGGGTGAAGCTTTGCAACTGTGTGTGCGCGCCTGGAGGCATTCACAACTTTCGCGCGCTACGGGACTTACGCAGGAAATGTCCAACTTGCGTGCAGTGTTTGTCATGCAGGCATTTCAGCACGGATAGGAAAAAAAAGGAAAAAAAACAAGGAAAAAAAAAGGCAAAAAAAAGAAAAAAAAAAGAGAAAAAAATCAATTAACATACTAGATGGACACACGAGAGGCATATTTTTTTAGCGACAAGATTGACAGTTTTCCTCTGGGGTAAGGAACCTTTTCGAAGAACGAACACGGGGGGGGGTGGAGGTTAAAGGATCCACTTGCAGACAGTGATGACCATGTCTGCGTAGGGGCGGCACATGCATAACCACACAATTTCACCACTACCCCCCCCTTATAGTAAGGTGCCCCCCCCCCACACACACACACTCAGTCAGTCAGCCAGTCAGCCAGTCAGCCAGACAACAAGACAGCCAACCAGACAGCCAACCAGACAGCCAATCAGACAGTCAACCAGCCAGTCAGTACTTCTGCGAACGCAGTTTAATGGCGGGTAAGGGCCCGTCGGACTCGGGCCAGGAGACGGAAATCCCATTTTGAAACAGCATAGGCTTATACTGCGGGATGGGAATGGTCATGATGGCAGAATTCCTGTAATGTTCGATGTTAGCTTTCAGCCCTTGTACTCTTCCCCAAGTAACAGTGCACACTTTGTTGCTTTTAAAAGCATTCAATTTGTAATTATTAAAAAATCGTATGAACAGTTCAGCATAATAGGGATGTATAAAATTGATAAAGGCGTAGCCAACGTTACATTTATTGCGGAAATCAATTGGAAGGTAAAAAAAATCATACAGTCCTTTAAAGTGTTCATTCATCACATTCATGAGCATTTTTTGTGTGTACTTGTTGGGAATATTTCTCAACATCACCGTCGTTAGGATATTGGTGTTGTTATTGTCAAGATTATGAAAGTTGAGAATTGTTCCCAATGGAATGGAGTCTTCACATTTGTACACGACATCATTTGTACTGTTGTCTGTGTGATCACGTTTGGCGCAGCAATTGTTCAGGCGATTACTACTCTTCGTATGAACGTCAGCTTTGTTGGTCCCTTCTTCTAGCGACTTAGTGACAGTCATGGGCCCCCTTGAGGACGTCCCGCCGTTCGGATGGTAACACGGCGAACTGTGCACATCCGTGCTATCCCCGTAGTAGTTACCATAACCAAAGCAATCACATTCCTTTTCGCCACTCGGGCATGTCTTAAAGGGGACGCCCCTTTTTTCTGCGCTGTTACTGGCCTTTTCATTGTTCGTGCCTCCCCCGCGGCGTAGTACATCCCCGTGGTGTAGCACATCCCCAGGACGTAGCACATCCTTGCTGCTGATGAATTCCTCGCTGCGGATGATGCCCCCACCACGAATTATGTCCTCGCTCCGAATTATGTCCTCACTTCGAATAATGGTGAGCTGCTTTATATTGCCAACCAAGTCTGCTTTCTCTCGCGCATCCACGACCTGCTCCTTGTCGCTCCCCAACTCAGAGTTCATGCGAATCATGGTGGTGATGCTATTCAGTTCGCATGCATTCCCCCTATTCTCAAAGCACTTTAAATTTAGCTGATTAATTAAGGCGTATCTTAAAAATTTTTTCTCGTGAATGCCATCTTTGAAGTAGTTCAATTTGTGCTTAATATACACTCGATTCTTTTCATTCGTTAAGAGATTGTTCAGCTTCGCAAAATCATTTTCGTCGTTTCCCTTTCTGTTGTTATACAGCACGTATGGCGAAATATATGTGTTCTTTATGTGGACAGTTGTTTTTTCCTTCCTCTTTTTCTTTACGTCACTTTGCTTGCTTGTGAAATTGCTCTCCCGCAGGTGGCTATTCATTTTGGCCCCCTCTTTTCCTTTGATCCTGTTATCACGGGGGAATACACACAGGGGTGGCTTCCACAGGTAGGCAGGTTTTACACTGGGTTAATCTCCACACACACAGGTAGATTCTACCCCCTGACGCGACACAAATGTTTCAGATTTGGGCGGCAATTGTAACACTTGGAGCTGTTCCACGATTCTCTTTTTTTCTCTCTCCCTCTTCCGTTTTTTCTCTTTCGTTTGTTCTATTCTCTTTATTTTGCTCCTTTAAATTGCTCCTTTATTTTACGTCCTCAGTTTCTTCCCCTTCTTTTTTCTCTTGACCTAGAATTATTCGATGTTAAGCCTGGCTGGTGACCTATTGGGGCTGTTTTCTTTTTCGCTTTATTTTCGATTCGTCACGTTCCTTGGACATGTACAGCGGGGGAGAGGGGAGAATTCTCTATGCATGCACGCATTGGAGGTGGTATTAACATGGGGAAAAAATTGACTCTTTCTTCATAAGTTTTTGCAAGCTTCGCGGAAATGTTAAGGTAGCATTGGGGATGCTACCAAGAAGGCACGCCAGTAGTACTGCAGCGATTTGCTACCATTTGCTGTCATGTTCTGCTATATTATGCCACCTTCCCGAGAAAGAAGTGGCAATTTTTCCCCCCTCTACTGCGCCACTTCTGCTTTCACCAACAGAATTGCAGTAAGACTATTCCGAACGACCGGCGCAATTTTCGGGTGCTGCAAAAAACAAAAAAAAGGCACGGTAAAAGGGGAAATAAAATTGGATGTGTATTTTAATTTTTCCTTTTTCTTCATCTCCTCTTAGGGTACATTGTAAGGATGAAAAAATGGAGGAATAATTTTTACGCGATTTTAATTTTTGCAAATATTTTCAAATCCTCATCTGACAGTTGTCATGTGTTTTGTGGAGTAGGGGCGGGCTCTGAAAGGGTGCCACCTTGCAGGCATTTGCATGAAACGCGCGTTTGGTTACGGGTTGTTTCGCTACCAAGTTGCAACACCGCCATGTAGCGACATTGCCATTTTGTGACCCTACCCAATGGCGGCTTTACCACGTTCTCCACACACACACACCTTCCCCGCAGAGGTACCTCAGCCCATTTCCGCCCTCTGCCGAATTAAGCAAAGGAAAAAATTAAGAAAAGCGAAAAGGGCTTTCCTTCACGCAAGGAACCTTTTGGAACAGCTTCGTGGTGGGGAAGAGATGCCAATACAGAAGTCCTGGAAAAACTAAGTAACAACCAGCCAACACAATGCGGTGAAGTTAAATAGGCGGAGGTGAAATTAGTGGCAGTCCAGCGAGCTGCGAAGAAACGTAATTTAAATAACCGACACACCCAAATGAGGTTCGCTCCTTTTAAGGTAATCCTTCCTTAGGATGAAGAAAAAACTGAGAATTTATCGAAGCAGACATTCTCACCCTATGCACTAAAAAAGATGCGATCGTTTTCTGAAGAGGCATATTTTCACTAAAGAAAATGTATCCATTATGACAATGACTCGAATGGGATGATGAAGACCGAATGCGATGTATGTTTCCTTTCCACGTAAGTAATCCAGTGGAACCAGGAACGGGGACCATAAAAACGATCGGTGCGCACCTTGCTTATACGTTGTCCTTCCAACTGATCACTCCCCCATTTGGGATTTCTTTTTTCTTTTTTTTTTTTTGTTTGTTGGAGAAGTAATGAAACGTTACTGTGCTCTCAAAAAAAAAAAAGAAAAAAAGAGCGACAAATAAATTGGAAAAGTTTTAAAAGTTACATGAGCATAAAAATACATGTCTGTCGAACGTGTAAACATACAATTTAGGGCTATTCCAAAACAAAAGCGGAATTAATGAAAATAGTCGCTACGAAATAGGGACCCTTGCTGCACCAAAGGTGGACACAAAAATGAAGAGCTTCTTTCACATTTTCGCTTCTTCCTATTTGTATATTTTTCCCTTTTGGCTAATTTAATGCGGATAAGTTGTAGTTGGCAAAATCCCAGTTAACCTTGTTCAGCCATTCTGCGGGTCGAAGAGTGGACGGGTGAAGAGGTCAAGCGAAACGGGCACGGGGACCATTTCGGCTACTTTTGATTAAACAGACATCAGAGGAAGACAAAAAAGGCGTGATAGATCTGCATGTGCATCCATGAGTACGCTACAGGATGTGTAAACATACGCACAACGCTCTGCATGTGTGGTGTTTTTTTTTTTTTTTTTTTTTTTCGTCCCCTATGCACCTTTCACGTAGTCCCCTCTGGCATTTTTGTAATCCACGTAGTAAGCATGCTCCCAGACATCTACAGAGAGGAAAAAAAAAAAAAAAATGTAGCCATGCAATACGAGCAAACGCAAATTTATATACAATTGTGCTTTGCTGAGGAGTTGATCTTTTTTAAAAAGTGGACTATTAGAGGACTGCTACGATGGACATTGTAACTTTCTCACCTCATTGCCCTTGCTCTTACCTAGGGTTAGGATCGGGTGCCCAATGTTTCCTTTTATGGGGGTATCCGCGTCGTGTCCTTGGTAGATGGTGAGCTTCTTATCCTTCATTATTAACCATATCCAGCCACTCCCAAAATGGCCTTCAAGGGAAATGATGGAAGGGGAAAGGGTGTCTCACGAGTGTTCGGTGCGGGATGTGCCACGCGAACGTGTCGCGCTGATGTAGCGCAGCAACATGGAAGCTGAAAAATACCTGATGCTTCCTTCAAAAAGGCGTCTTTAAAATTTTCAAAGGTGGTAAAGGACTCTTCGATTTTGTTCTTTATTTGGCCGTAAGGCTTCCCACCTCCATGCTCCTTCAGTCCCAACCAAAAGAAGTTGTGGTTAAAAATTTGAGCTGTGGAAATGATCGACGGCGACGTGAAAGCGACGAAGGAGAGAGGTGCAGACCAAATGAACAAAGGAGTAGCCAGCCGAAATATTTTCCAAACAAGCATTCCATTCAGTGCACTCTGTCAAAATGCAGCATTACCTGCATTGTTATAAATGGGCCCGGAATATCTTCCTATCACCTCTGAGGGGGTGGAAAAAAAAAAAAAAAAAAGACATCTTGACAATATGGCATGATTACACCCACCGGTGAAGACACTATTGGCATAGACATATGTTAATAGGCATCCCCCGATGGGGAAAGGGGGCGAGATGTCCCTTTGTACGGTTAAGAAAAAAAAAAGGAAAAAATAATTTTATATTTAAGAGGCCACCCATCTGTCACGATAAAGTGCGCTGACAGACCTTCCAAGGTCAGGTTCCTAAGTTCACCATGCTGATCGGCTAAATCTGGGAAGGAAAATTAAAAAAAAAAATGATAAAACAAAAGTGGTGGGAAATGTCGGACACGAAAAAACTGTGCACTATTCTAATCAAAAGGGAGGAAAAATGAAGTGCGCAAATGAGCGGTTACAAAAGCAACCCCTCCCTTGGCACGTAATGCACGTCCAAATGGAGACAAGCCAAATTTGTCGCCTCTCATTGAGTACTATTTAAGTTCTTGACGTAGGCGGCGTGGTGCTTGCTGTAGTGGTATTTCACCGATTCTTCACTGAGGAAGGGAGACATACTTTGGGGGCTCTGAAAGGATGGTAGTGGTGTGCAATTCTGTGCAGTTGTTTGCAGGTGGGGGCGACGCGTAGCGAGCACAAAGAGTAATATGAGCAACTGAACAGACGGGTGCCTCTTTAGCCGCAATTGTAGTCACGTTTGCAATCACTTCTGCAGTCACTTTTCCTCGAGTGAGGATGCATCTATTACGAATGGAAGCTTCATTAAGGAAAAGGGTTTGGAATCCCACAAGGGTTTAACTCCCCAGCTGTCATACAGCATGTCGTCCAGTTTCGATGCACACTTGGAGTCATTTTTCACTTCAGATGGTCGGCCGAAGAAGGATAGGTACCCCAGCTTGTCCACTCTTTTGAGTCCCCGAGCGCCTGCGGTGGGGACAGCAAAGGGGAAAAAGAGGTGAAGGCGGGGAGAAGCATCGGTGAAAAGCGGAGGTGAAAAGGGGCGGTGAAAAGAGGCGGTGAAGGGGCGATGCTTCACCAAGCACACCAGTGAGTGCTGCCGCGCAATAACGTACACACACGAGTGCGCGGCGAATCGGTGATGGCCAACGGACGGCCTCGCTTAGAACCTCTCAATATCCCCTGCTCAAGAAGAAAAAAAAAACAACAAAAAAAAAACAAAACTTTAAATGCAGTCATTTTCAAACCATCAGCAGCGCAGAGTTGTAATGAATAGCATTTTGTGAGAACGATCCTTGGCCACGGGGGTGGGGCTCAAAATTGACATCCAACGCAGAGAAGAAGAAGATTTTTTAAAAAATGTAGGTGAGGGTGCAGTGCCTTTCACGGTTTATCTTGTGTTCCTACTTGGTGTGGCAAAATTGCTGGCCATTCTGTGTTCCCCTTCGGAAGGCAAATATGTCAGCCATTTTGTGTTCCCCTCTAGGGTTTGCTAATTTTGGCCGCCACTTAGCATCCCCATTTTGCACACCCATTTTTTTACGGTTATTTGTCAAGGGCATTTTTCAAGTCCGTTTGTCAAGGTCATTTATGAAGGCGATTTTTCAAGGTCATTTTTCCTTTTCTTTTCCCACCCTTCGTTACAGAGCACATTTCTGTGCAACCTCAATTTACACACGCTCCTTACTTAAACATAATCGCGTGAAAAAAAAAGAAATATAAATAGAACCACATATATATCGTTATTATTGAATGTCCATTTTTTGGTAAACGCAAAAGGGAAGAAACAAATTAGGGAACACCTTGTGCCATCTTCCTTTAATACCCAAAAGAACAAAATATCTTTGGAGCATAGAGGGGGGTGGGGAGAACAATTCGTCCACCCTTTTCTCTGTTTTTCTTTACATACCGATGATGTTCCTTTGTGTTTCACGTTTAAGAGGAACGTCGCCTTGGAACACTTACTCGTAGTCCCCCCTCTGCGCGAGAGTTGTCCGTTCTGCAGCATGATAAAAATGACGACGAATATGCATGTGAATGGAGAAAGAGCCCATTGTGCCGAAAGACTGAACAGGCATTTAAAGAAATAAAGAAAAATAATCCAAACAAATTGAAACGCATTTCAAAATTTTCGGATTCGCTAGTTCCCTCATTTGAGCCACCAGTTTGGGTTTATCCTACATAAAGCAGAAAAAGGGGCTCTGCTGCAAATGTGAATATTCCCCCTGCGTAAGCCTCCCCGTCTGATCATGCTTCACACGACCAGCTATAATCTACTTCTTATCGATAGGATGCCTCGACGGTGGCGCCGAAAAAAGGGAACCAAAAGAGAGGGGGGAAAATACCTTCCCCGCAAATGAACACTTAAAAGTTACGCGAGCAGGAAAATATAAAAACTAGTGACCCACAAAAAGGGCATGCGTAGGTACATCACAAGTATGCACGTGTAAAAACATAAAAAATATATTTATATGTACGTGATGCAGGTCTCCCTCAAGCTTAACATATGTTTTATGGGTTTCTCGGCTATATGGGGAGCGGCCAAATGGATAATATACGCCCACTAGATACGATACGCCTCCATTTTTTTTTCAAACCTTTTTTGTACGTTCGTCCAATGCTGCGCCTTGCTTGCCCCTTCAAAATGGCAAAAAAAAAAAAAAAAAAACACATAATGCATACAAAACATACAAATGCATATTTAATACATTCATAGTAGAATAACAAAACAGAGCAACGTAATTAAATTGCAAAATAACCGCTAACTTAAGCAAAAGGAGGAATTTCCGCCCAAAGGCTACAAAAAAAAAAAAAAAAAATACTAGCCATTCTTTTAAGCGCATATTTTGCCCCTCCCAAAAAAATATATTTGTACGTATGCGCATTCGTGTATCCATACTTGTATACTCTTATGCGTTCACGCTGACAAATCTTGTCACTTCCACTGCGAGTGCCACTTCCTCTCCGCAGCCTCCTTGGAAAAAAACCCACTTCGGGAAAGCTCCATATTCCCGCGTTGAGCCTGTGTGCCCAGCTGCTACATGTAAGGAAGCTTTAGCGAAGTGGTATGCTGGTAGGAGCTCGGTTGGGGAGACTCAAGTGCCGCTTCGCATGATCGTAAGATACCCTTTTCAACGAATACAGTGCGGGGGGCTCGCAAGACCATGTGCCTGATCGCCGGAGGCCCTCTTGTTTGAGCGGTTAAAACGGAGAAGACTGGGGGGAAGGCTTTGGCCCACCCAAGCGGACGTAAAACTTTGGCCTGTGTAAAACTAGTCAGCCGAGTGAGCGTGGCCTTTCGCTCTTGCGCAGGAGCAGATATATGTATATATATAGATATATATATATCCTATCAAAGGGGGACCCTACCCAAGTGTGTATCCGAAAGGGAGAATGGGTACCCTCCCAGTACATAGCATAAGGCAGCTTCTGTTTTGTCGGTAGAGGGCGGGCATCAATCTGTCACGTCGTTGCGCCACTTCCACACCACTTCCACGCCACTTCCACGCCACTTCCGCACCATTTCGCCCCTCTCCCCCGCAAAAATGTACTACGACCCGCTGGTAGCCCTCATCAACAGCTCCCCCGTGGAAAAGCTCATCGACGAAACGTCCAAAAAAAAGTCGAGGTGGGGGAAGAGCTCAGCAGGTACCAACATAGAAAACAAAGTAATGCCAAGCAAATGGGGACCAGAAGAGACGAAGCCGTATTTACCTCTCCCCTTTGTGGACTTACCCCCAGGGTTAACTCCATCCCAACTTGACCAATTTCTCCGCGAACAGAGATACGACGAATTGACAAAGAAAATAAATAAAGGAGAGCTAGAACATGTCGATCCGGACATTCGACCACCATCTCCACCTCCTATTTATGATAAAAACGGAAGTAGAATAAATACAAGAGAAGCGAGGGTAAAGAATTGCATGATTGAGGAATATCACAGGTTGGTGGAGTATCTGCTAAAGCATGTGGATGGATTTGTAGCTCCCCCAAATTATAAGCCAATTAAAAAAGTCAGAAAAATTGAAATACCAATTGATAAATATCCTGAATACAACTTTATGGGGTTAATTATTGGCCCCAGGGGATGCAACCATAAAAGGTTGGAGGCAGAGAGTGGTGCACAGATAAGCATCCGTGGTAAGGGGACCCTCAAAGAAGGAAAAAAAACGGATCACCAAACAGAAATTGAAGCTAATATGCCTAAACATGTGCACATATCTGCTGACAATGAAGAATGTGTTGAGAAGGCCGTCAGTTTAATTACACCCTTGTTAGACCCCTTCCACCCACTACATGATGAGTATAAAAAAAAGGGACTAGAACAATTGGCACTTGTGAATGGCATTAACATAAATCAGCTTGAGACACAGCGATGTTCCATGTGTAACTCTACTTCGCACATGACTTTCGAGTGCCCAGAAAATATGAATCTCCAAAATTTTAAGAAACCAGAAATTAAGTGTACCCTCTGTGGGGACCATGGGCACATAACGCTTGACTGCAAGTTGGCAAAGCATAATAATACCAAGGCGGATTTGGACCCCTCCCCCACGGAAAAGGGAACCGCTTCTGCTAAGAGTGGGACCGCCGGAAATATCCCCGCACCTCCCCCCACCATGCCACCACCACCATACGATAAACACAGAGGGATCCACCCTTATGGACAAACGTCCAGAACTGAGAAAATAAAAATCGACTTGGAATACCAAAGAATGATGAACGAACTGAACCCAGATAAAGAAAACGGAGACCACTCCACCGCTAAGGATTCGATGAGAAATGGAAATGAAAATATCTATGCTACGGGAGCCAATGCGACGAGTGACTTCCCTCCCCCATCAGGCAGCCACACCACGCTGGGCGATATCCATATGGATTCATTCTGCGACCCGACGTCTACTTTTTCCGATCTGAGCGCCATCTTCCCGGGTACCAACGGAACCGGAAAAGGTACCCGAGGGGGGAGAGGCGGCAGGGGTAGTAAAAATAACAAAAATTTTAGTAACGGGCTCCTTCCTCCTCCAATGAACGGCAAAAATAAAGACAACCCAAATCTTATCCCCTTGGGGATGAATAACAATCCTTTTCCAGATGAGCTAATGAATGCAAATACGTCATCAAACTTTTACGACTCGCACTCCAAAAGTGGGAGAAGCAGTTCTCAAAAGAATTCTAGCAATAAGAATTTTAATACATCAGGATCGAATTACCCAAATGCGAATAATATTCCTTTAAATTCTCCCCTCCCTATGTTACCCAATATTTTTAATTTCCCTTTTATGAATAACGGTATGGTACCACCTGGTTCTGTGCCCTTCCCCAATGGTCAGCAGATGTCTCCTGGCCAGCAGCTACCCATGGATTCGCTCTACATGCAGGGTTTTCCGGGTAAGAAGAGGATCCTATACGTGATGAATTATGCGCGTGGATCTACCGCACTGATTGTTCTCATCATGTTGTTTTTTCTGTTTTTTTTTTTTTTTTTTTTCGCATGATGTGCTTCCACCATTACGTGCACTTCATAAGTGACGCCCCCTTTTTACAGGTTGGCCGCAAATGCCCATGGGCTACTCGGAAGACATGCTGGCTCACGCGGTTGCGCCTGACACCAACCCGCCCCCCTTGCCATCGGAAGATGTGAACAACCAGGACGGCGCGAATGTTACGTGAGCGCTTGGGAGGAGAGAAGCAGTTTGAATAAGAAGGAGAACACTTTGCAGGGATTGGTACAATTTTGCCGGAAAGGCACTATTTCGAGGAACGGGCCCAGTTTTGAATTCGCAGAATGCGTGGAAGATTGCGTGCACGGCAGAGGAGGCGGATCACAAACAGTAAGAAAGTACACTTTGCTCACGGACGTTACGAAAAAAATGCGTGCAAGGAGACACGCTTCTCTAGGCAAGCGCGAACGCTTATCTAGTGATAAATCTGCTCGTGGGTGGCGTGCCCATGCAGTAGCCTTCTGCGTGACAATTTCTTCTGCGACAGAATTGACTTATCACAGGAGACATATTGGACTTTTTTAAGCGATCACCGTAGCGGTGGAGCTGTGGTCACGGGTCTTTCGCAGTGTGGCCCCGTCTACGGCTCCTTTTGGAGCGGTACCCTATTTACTATTTCTCCTGCAGCGATTCCCCCACCAACGCCCACGTTCCCCTGGCACGACTGTGCCAACACGTGTATAATTGAGTTGGAGACTTTTTTTTTTTCGTCGTTTACTGAATCTATGTTTGCATAAATCCTAGGGAACTTTGTGTGTAACCAGCAGTACAGGTCAATTATTTCATAGTAAAGCTCCAGGACGCTGAGACATTCCTCTAGCCCCACGTGCGGATTGTTGGAATGTCCCGGGGAGGCGCTGAGTGGAGTTGGCCCCAACGGGAAGTCAAGGCGAATTGCACTCTGCTGCTTCACCAAGTTGGTGTAACTGTGCCCATCGAAGCGGCAGTTTGATAATTCTTCCTCACCCTGTTTACGATATGACCAGGCGCTGCCGTTGCTCGCGATGCTGCTCTCCGCGGTGTCGCTATCCGGGGCGAGGGTCCCCCCTTGGAAAGGTAAGCCATCCGTGAGCGCACCCGAGTAGCCATGCCCCTCTCTTAACTCCTCAACCCCCCCCACTGCAGTAGTAGACACAATATCTCGATTTATGCACTCAAAAAAATCCACAGAATTTAGCAGCTCATGACACAAAGCAAAGGTTCTCAGCGTAGTCAACATATTAACATCATTGACATTTATGGGGGAAAGGGTATACACAAAGAGAGTTTCGCTGTCCAGCTTTATGTCTTTTAAAAATTTAGCAATGATTATCATTTGGTTGTAATTCTTCGTCAGGAAAAAATACTCCTCATTAAGCTTTGCGTAATCCACCAGTATGCTCATAATTTCATGCAGCTCTACTTTTGCTTTGTGTTCATATTGTAGCATATTTTTCAATTTATTTATCATGTTAAAGTCAGGAAAGAACCCTGCCTTTGTACAGGTGTTGTCTTTTCCTTCTCTTTGCTGAAAAAGGGAATCCACAAAATGGGCATTCTGCTGTGGCCCATCCAACTGAGCGCCACTACCCTGCCCACCTGAATATCTCCCCTCATCATTTCTTCTTAAATGGTTTGAGGACTCAACGTGCTGACCACAATTTTGCGTAAAAGAGGAATTCTCCGGATGGTCATTCTCCGGATGGTCATTCTCCGAATCATTATTCTCCAACTTTTTTCCATCCAGCACACCATCATTTTCGCTCCTAAAAATCCTTTTAATAGTGCTTAAATCATGCGCATGAACACAAGTGACGTAACCAATTATGGGCTGTCTAATAGCATGATGAAATCTTCCAGCCCTCCCCGCTATCTGTAGCACCTCGGAACCGTATAAATGTCTTAACCTATCTCCATCAAATTTTTGCAAAGAATAAAATATAATTCTTCTTATGTTAATGTTCACCCCCATGCCTATGACATCCGTAGCGATTAAAATGGTTTCCTTTTTGTTGTCACTGCTGAGGGGTACTTCTCCTTTAGCAGTTTGGTTTACTTCTCCTATGCTTCCCTCCCCTGCGCAGTATCGGTTGAAGAACTCCACTTGCCTGCGCTTCAGTTCCGGGGGTAGACTCCCATAAATTACAAAAACACGTTTATTCAACCGCTCCAGCCGATTCTTTAACCTCATGATGCTATTTCTGGAGAAAGTAATTACGCAGTCTCCCGTCGTGAGTTTTTCCCATTCCACTGTATTTTCCTGTACATGCAATTTTGTTAACCGTTTGAATCGCTTTATAATTAACTCGTCTTCTAACAGGTCTGCTAATTTCTTCACCAAACTTATTACGTTGTTACTTCCACAGAGGTATATCTCTTCACAGTCCAAGTTTAGAAGAACATTTGTCCAGGCACATCCTCTCGTATCATGGTTAATCATCTGAATTTCGTCAATCACAACACAGTCGTATTGCCTATCCAGTGGAGTCATTTCGACGGTGCAAACTGTGTGTGTTGCATTTTTTTTTTTAATCACTTCTTGCCCTGTTAATAAGCTGGTCACTTTATTCAGTTTAATGAATTTTTTGTGGATTTCCCATGCTAGGATTCTTAAAGGTGCACAATACAACCCATTACTTGACTTGCACAAACTTTGGAAAGCTTCGTAGGTCTTTCCGCTGTTTGTTGGTCCAACGTACAAGTGCAGCTTCCTCCCTTTTTTTTTTTTTTTTTTCTTTACCAGTTCGGTCAACTCGCTAAAGTCGCACATTCGCCTGACATGTTCGTAAAAAATCCACTGCTTGTAGTAATGTTTTTTTATGAACCGCTGAAAAATGGCTAGCAGTTTAACGTACTTCATTGTCTCTCTTTTGGTTTTCCCGTCTTTCGGGTCTGAGTCTTCCTCTCCATTTTGCAGAAACTCCCTCAGCTCGAACGCACCAGCGGTGTCTCCCCATAGGTGCTGCAAAAAATCGTTTCGCACATGACTGTCCTTCAAAAAAAAACTGGGGATGTTACACGAACGCATAAAGTGGCGTTGTATCTCCTCGTCAGTTGAAACCTTGATTAGGACGTTTCTTGTTTTCTGCAGTTCGTTTTCGCTCAGTGGGATCAGCCGTTGCGCTTTCCGGTAATCTTCGATTATTTTTTCAGCGGCGGGGTTCTCGCAGGGGGGAGGAGGGTGCTCAGCGGGGTAGGTTCCCACGTTATCCATCTCGCGATCTGTTCCCCGATACGTCGCCCCATCCGCAACGTTGTCTTCGTTCTTACCTACGCGCGTTGATGCTGCTCCCTCCGCTCTGAACCTTCCAATCAGTCGGCTCTGCCCATGGGGAACGACCCCTCTCCCCCTCCCACAAGTCCGCACAAAACATTGAAACATCTTTATCTTCCTCAAATGGTTTCACAGAACAACAACGGAATGTTTATCCTACGTGGGGGAAACTCCCAAGTCGAAAACAACTAGGAAAGTAACCAACGTAACACACGTGTCTGCGAGGATGTCCTACGCCCTTTGACAGAAAAATGAATCCTCCCATTGGAGTAGTACCACCTTTTGTAAGCCTCCTACATGGACCGATGGTTTGGTAACTCTGCTGGCCAGAATGTGATTTACCTCACCATCATGTAACGGATGCACTGCTTGCTGCTGTGTACATTGCTTGTCATTTTTGTGAGGGACACCTTACGGAAGGAATCTCTTCCCCCCCCTTAAACTGACCAAATTGTCATGTGAAGCAAAAAGGGTAGTCCAAAAGGGAGCATATCCCATGGGTCATTTTCATGCTGGTCTGGTGCCTCATAATCCTCCTCTCACGATGAACAAGCAACCTCGTTAGTAGGCACATATTGGAAGAAACTCTCCCACTTTGACATATACCTCCGTGGTGGAAAAACGCTCTTGTGGTTTCTCAGGAAACCATCCATCTTAAAGGAAGCCAAGGGGAGAATACGCATAAAAAGGGCCATGCACCTATACAAAACACCTGGATCGCTCCTCTTGGCAGTTTTAAAGGAGTAAAAAAAAAAAAAAAAAAATTTAATCACCCTAAATGGCCCAGTTGAGAAAAAAGGGTAGGGATGCTTCTTATCCTGTGTAGTCAGCAGTTCCTACAAATGCGTCGACACAAGTTTTTTTTTTTCCCCCCCACGCTGCTACGACGTTAGGTGCAATGGGGAAGATGCACCACGTCACCACTGCGCGACCGCTGCCCGACAATCGCGCCACCACCGTGCATGTAAAGAATTTACCCTTCTCTACATTTGTAGAAAAATTAAAAAAAAAATTTTAAATGTGCGTATGCCGTTTTGTACACACCTATGATGAGCGACGTTTGAGACTTCCCTGAATTTTCTCCAAAGTGGAAAAGGAAAATGGCTCAGTAAATTTTTATGCCAACAGGATAGATCGCTTAAAATGTCCTTTGTACAACCTGTCCTCTTTGAGGGTGTCGATTAAAGGATGCGCGTGTGGTGGCGGAGTTTAATTTACACCTCCTCACGGTGCGCTCCCAGGAAGTAGCCAAAAGGTTAATTAAGAATAAAAAGTTTTAATATATAATTTGTGCGTCTCTTTAAAAAAATTAAAAGAATACACAAGACGAAAAAATTTATATACTGGCACCCCTACATCTCCACATGGGTGCTTAAAACATGTGCACGTCTTTGTGTGGAGGGGGGATAAAAATACACATGTGGTTAAAAACGGTTGAAGCACACAGGGTGGAAACGTGCGTACCACTTTAGCACGCACGTACGTATGCAAGTATGTGCATATACATGTATGTGTATTGCTATTTAAATAAGGATGCTCATGATTTACGGTAATATATATGCTTATGGGCTTACGCGATTTTGGGGGGTCATCCGCGGGTCGCTCAAAAGGTGTAAATTTAATTAAGGCAATTGCGCCCGCATTCCACCCCCCATATCAAACGTAGGGGCACAATATAAGTATTAAAAAGGACGGCTTGCCCCATTAATGCATTGGGTGTAGGTGTGTATGGGTCAGTGGGTGGTAACTGTATCGGACATAGTGTACTTACCATGCCAACACGCGCTCGAATGAATCGCTCGGAGTACCACAGTGCAGCGTTGAGCCGGGTATATGCGTATTGAGGGTTTTTTTTCGCGTGATGCGCTCGGAAGGTTAAAAAAATGAAAAGCTAATTAGTATGACGGAGGAATGTGGAACCGCTCAAAATTGCATAGTCTCTGTTCCCGAGTAAGCATCACCCTTACGTCTTTTTTTTTGGTATAATCAAATTGTTTTTTTTTCTTTTCTTTTTTTTTTTTTTCTTATTTTCTTATTTTTTTTCCCCCTATTGCGCTTTCGCGCGACACGGAAATAGTGAACCACCAAACGGTTGTAACACGTGGACAAGATGTTCTTTGCCCTCACAAGGGGGTCGGTCTTCTCCCCTGTCAGGTCGGGTCATCACTCGACTACCTTAATTTTCTTCAAACACTTGTACATCTCGTAAGCGCAGGGCCTCTCCTCAGGGGTGAAGCTGAAGCATCTCTCCAGGCACTTCTTCATCGAGTTGGGTAAAAAGTTCGGAATGTGTGGGGTGTTCTTATTGATCAGCAACTCATGTCGGATCTTTACATTCTTGGATAAATTATGGTATGGGTATTTGCTCGAAAATATTTCAACGATGCAGCATGCCAAGCTCCATATGTCAATCTTCTCTGTCACTTCCGATGTGCAGCTAAACGTTTCAGGGGCCATATATCTATAGGAGCCAAAATTGCTGTAAAGCTTTGAATTCTTAAATCGAGCTTTCCCAAAATCGCACATAACTAGGTGCATATTGTTGTCAATTAAAACGTTGGAAGTTTTTATGTCTCCATTAACTATAGGAGGGTTATGTGCATGGAGGCCATGGACAATATAACACATTTCAGATGCCCACGCCAGTCTCTGCTTCTTGTGAATTTTTTTTTTATTTTTTAAATAATTAAATAAATTACCCTTAGCATAGTACTCCAACAGCAACATTAATTTATTCGATTTGATGCATATTCCATAGAAGGTACAAATATTTGGACGTTGAATATTTTTATATATTTCAATTTCTCTTAAAAAGTTTTTTAAATTTTTGCTGTCTTTCAGATCGTGTATTTTTATAGCAACTGGGATTTTTACTTGTACCACTTCTTCGCTCTCTTCGCACGTTTCTTCAACTCCGCCTTTTCCTGATTCGTTCATTATATTTCTCCCCTCATCCGCTTCTTCCTTCACGCCTGCAGTTGTTGCATTCTTTACGCCTTTCCCATCCGCCCCTGATTTCATTTTCATCAGCTTTTTCCCTTCCACGGATAACGATGTCACATTGGCGTTCTTAACCCCTTTGGTGTCTACCCTACCTCTTGAACCTCTCGCCGCTTTCGCCTCCCTCATGTTCGCGGCATTTTTCACCTCAGGTAATCCTTTTTCTCTTGTACCTTTTCCTTTCCTACCCCCGCGAGGGGAGGAGTGAGAAACTCTTTCTTCTCCGTCTCCTTCGTCTGTTTCTTCTTCGTCTGCTTCCTTTTCGCCTGCTTCTTCTTTGCCTTCCTCCTCCTTATCACTGTTTTCCGCGCCCACATCCTCCAGGTGCTGCTGCTCCGCGTCGCGTTTGCTCACCTTTTGACCGTAGTAGTTGTAATCCCGCTCGTTGCCATACGCCTTAAAAGCGTTTCTGTTCCTGGACCCATTCATGAACATGGTAGTTTTGGACTCGTCGGTATTGTTGGTGTTCAGCAGGGTGATGCTTCCCGCGCCGTTCCTGCTCAGGTGCATGTTCGCCTTGTTTGTGCTTCCCATCTTGTCTGCCTCGTATCGGTGCATATTGTTGCTGAGTCCACTGCTAATTCCGGTGCTGCGTCCAGTGCTGCGTCCGCTGCTGCCATGGCCGGTTCCGCCACTTCCACCACCGCTTCCTGCGCCGCTGCCAGCCCCGTTGTTATTCTCCGTCTCGTCACTCCTCTCGTTGTTCCCGCTGCCCCCACTCATCATCCTGATTCTCCCTTCTGCATAGTCCGTGCTGATTTCCTCGTAGTTGCAGCAGAGGAACTCATCAAGCATGTTAATTTTCTCCTGCAGGATCATGGAGTCTCTATCGTCGTTATTAAAATTGAGAGCGCCTCCGTCGTTGCCTCCACCGCTACCCGCACCGCTACCTCCACCACACGCATCCGTGTTGGAACACTTCAGGTTGGAAAAAAGGGCATTATAATTTGGGCCGCTGGCCTGGTTGACTTGTTCTGGCTCCACCGTTCTGTTCCACCCGTTTGCGTTGGGGTTGCTGTTCAGCTCCTTCGCTTCTGGGTAGCAGGAGCAATTATTCGGCTGCTTGTGATATTTCTTCCTCAAATTAAAAAGGAATTTCAAAAAGCCAAATATTAGCGCATTGAGAAGATGATTCATATTCAGCCTGCTAAAAGGAATGATGGCCAATTTGTTTAGCCCATTCTTATGCCTATTAATTTCGTACTTGAGTATAGACGAGCTGTTCATCATCCTTTCATTATTTAGCACATTGAAGACGGTCAGGCTCTGGTACTTCTTCAGTTCCTTGTGCTCATCGATAAACACAATTTTGAATATACATTTATCACTGTAGTAGTGGAAAATATTCTTATTGTCAAATATATAGAGGCTTTCCTTATTCACTCCGTAGGTTATTATATTGTTGCTCTTAACGTACAGGAAAGAGAGGGTGTTTTTGTACGTCACGTTATTATGGTATACGTCCATCAACAAGTAGACAATAATCTCTTCATGGTATTTTTTCCCCAGCTCCGTGTTGTTCAGCATTTTTAACTTATAAAGAATTTTCTTCGCTTCGATAAAAAATTCATCTCGGTCAATTATTATTTTGTCACTTGTTTTTTTGGAGTAAATAAAGTTAAGCATTTTTTTCTTTAGCTTTCTTATTTCCTGTACGTGTATACAATTGGATCCCTTTTTCAGGTCCATTTTTTCGTCTGCCCCGTCTTCAGCAGCTGCCCCCTCTTCGTCATCTTCCGCGCCTTCCCCTCCGTGGACATTGCCGCTACTCGACTTGTGGTACTTCCTCAGAAACATGCCCTCAGCCTCCTTCTTCACGTTATAATCCTCGTGGTTGCTCGCTTTCTTTTTCCGCTGCTGGTTGGCCTTATCCCAACTTTTTAGAATATTCTCGATGGCATAATTGTTTTCTTTTTCTTCGTCTTCTTCGTCTGCGTCTTCTTCTTCCTCGCCCGGCCGTTTCTCCCGCACCTGCCCTGTTTCTGCGCCTCTGACGGGGTGCTCACCATTCATGCCATTACCACCAACAGTGCCACTTCCATTCCCACTTCCATTCCCACCACCGTTGGAGCTGATCGGGTTCCTGAACGTGTCGAATATTTTCTCTATCAACTGGTTTCGCAGATTACACAATTTTTTGGTGCTTCTACTAAGCTTGCTGCTATCGCTGTTGTGGCTTTTCTTCTTCTTCATGGGGAACTGCTTGTTTGGGCAACTTGCCTTGGGGGGGCTGCTACTCTTAGGGGTGCTTCCATTTGGTTCGCTGCCATGGCCTGAGTTTCCCTTCGATTCTGCGCCATCCTGTACGTTGCTATTGTTATTATCTGCGTAGTTGCTGGAACTGTCCTGATTCACCCCATCCACGTAGTTGTCCTCGTCCCCCGCGTGGAGGTCATCTCGCTGCTCTCCCAGGTGTTTCTCCTGTCCGTATTCTTCCTCATCTTCATCATCATCAGTATCATCCCCCTGCTGGTTCAACTGCCTATGTGTGCTTCTTCTCCCCTCTGCTCTTCCTCCAGCCTCATCATCAACTCCGCTACCTCCGCCTAGCCCCTTGGAGCTCTTCTGGTTTGACAACATCTTCCTGTACTTCCCACTAGCGCCATACATCAGCTCGCATTTTTTGACATTCCTCAAGAGGACGCCTTTGTAAACAACCCCAAAGCCTCCCTTAGAAAGGTATGACTGAATTTTAACATCGTCATAATGAATAAGATACGTGTCACTAAGATACAACGAGCAGATGTTCGTGTTGGTCATAAAAATAATCTTTGAAATGTTCGTAAATATATTTTCATTCCTCAGGGGGTAGTATAATTTTATCCTCTTCACTAGAACGTCATTTTCACCCAAATGGATTAGAGGAAAGTTCAGCATCTTCTCCCTTTCTAGACTTCTCCTATATATTTTAATATTACAGTTTTCCTTTGTTTTGAAGATTTTTTTCTCCTCGTCGTATACCACGTTTTCATTGCTTAGGCAGTTTTCTTTAAAGTATGCCACCGTCTTGTCTACGTTGTTTCCGCTGTTTCCGTTTCTGCCGTTGCAGTTTGCCACTCCGTTGTTGTTATCATAGGAGTTTCTCTTCTCGCTGGAGTTTTTGTTTCCATTAAGGTCTGTTTCAGACACGTTCAAATTGAAGTTGTTGCTCATAGATGCTACGCTGTTTTTCCTGCACACGTTTTTGTCCCGTTTATGGTTCTCCACGAGCACGTCAGGGGTGACTCCGCCTCCGCTTCCCTTGACTTGTTCAGACATCTTCCCGTTCTGTTCGCTCTTGCCTGTCCCCTTTTTGAGGTGACCTCCGCAATTGCTCTCCCCTACTACTGCCGCTTCCGCAGCGGCAGTGGCCACTCCTTTCTTCTTACCATAATTCGCACAGCTGCAATTTTTTCCCACGTAATTTTCAGTTTCATTCTTTAATGGCATAGATGTCGTTGAAATCTGTGCCCCTGTTCCGTTTTCGATAAAGGCCGGACTCGCTCCATTTTGGATGCAACCTGCACCTGCTCCGTTCTTTTTACTCTCGTACAGCTCATGCCCCTTCAGAGTCGGCAACCGATAGTTCTGCTCCTCACAATTTAAAACTTTCTTCGTGGTGGCGCTTAGCATTTTCTTCAAATTATCTTCATCTCTTAGTCCCTTGTTCAGATATAAACTGGTCCGCACGTCGTACGCGTTCCTATCGTGAAAAACGTTGCCACATGGATCCCCCCCAATAGGGGCTACTCCTGGGGAAGGAAAAGACCCGCCCAAGTATATCATAGTCGGTATGTTTCTCTTCCCATTGACATTGGCGTCTTCTGCAGGTGGACAGCACTTAACATTATCAATCACCTTAAGGCCCTTCAAATTGTGTGTATAAAGCACTTTCGAAGCGCTTGGCAGTTTCTGCATAGCGTTGTGCAAACTTTCCTGTTCCAGCATCATCATCATATTTTCGTGAGCTCGGCTGACTCCTCTTCTCTCCATTTTCTGAAGATGCTCGTACGAACTTTGCTGTTTTTCTTTTTGCTGCTTCCCCTTCTGCTCCTCTTCCTGGTCTTCTTCCCTGACAAAGAATTTTTCGAACTGCCGATCGTGCAATTTGTCGCTCTTTCGGTCCAAGTATCTATCGTACTTCCGATCGTGGAGAGGGTCATTCAGTTTCTCTCCTAGCCGATCGCTTAGCTTTTCTCCCTGCTTCCTCTCATAGCTACCATTCACCGCAGAGTAGCCCTTCTGCCGGTGGTTCTCCCCCAGGTACTGCTTCAAGTCATAAAACACGTAGTTGCGCTCTTCATCCCTCTGCTCGGCGCTTTTCCTTTTTTCGAACTTGACATACTGCTGCTTCTGCTGCGATGGGTGACTGGGGCGACCGCCGGGGTAGTTCACATCTGCAGCGTCATTCTCAAAAAAGTTATTGTAAGGCATTTTTTTTCTCTCCTCCTCGGCGTTCATCTTGTTCATAATGTTGTCCTGCATCTTTGTTAGATTCGTCAAGGAATAGGAGTTTTTCATTTTATCGTAACTTTTTAAATGGGCCATATACTTATTATTCTCCTCCTCTTCCTTCGCTTCGTCCTCCTTCTCATACTCCAGCCTCTCCCTTTTAATGTTGTTAAGTTTTTCCTTTATTTCGATGAGGTTATTGATAAATAATCGCTTGTTTATTATTTCGTTGGCACTGACGTTGCAGTTGTTAGTAGGTGGTTTGTTCATGGGGTATCTGTTGCTCAGACTTGGGCTGTTGTGGATGCTACTTTGGTCTCCAAAGAGGTCCGCGTGTATGTATTCAGCTTGGCTGTGGGGAATCTCTTTGAAGACGTTGCCTCCGTTAAAGCTGGGTCTGCTAACATGGTCGGAAACGTGATTGCTAACATGGTCGTTAACGTGGTCGTTAACGTGGTTGCTAACATGGCCGTTAACGTGGCTGCTAACGTGGCCGTTAACGTGGCCGTTAACGTGGCCGCTGTACTTCTGCCCATTGATACCCCTATGGGCGGCGTCCCCGCTGTAGTCCAGGGGGACTATCTCCCCATGGCTGTTCACGTACACCATGCTGTTGTTTCCACTCCTCCCTTTGGAAAGGCCACTCATCCCCTCGTTGAGATTTTCTTCCTCCAGAAAGTTCCCACTTCGCAGGAAGTCCTTATTAAATTCTTGCCTCGAAATGATGTTATTATAGAAGACGCCGTTGACGCTGTTGACGTTGCTGGCGCTCTTCGGGTGATGGTCAGTCAATTCCTGCTTATTGGCGTTTCCATAAAATGAGTGCTCCTTCATTTTGTTGCTGCTTCCTTTGAACATTTTTTCTGCCGATGGGGTTAATCTTTGTTTTGCTCTCCACGTTGGTTTTACTTCACCGCGATGGGTACAACGTCTTCGCTACAATTCCGTTGTGTCACTTTTTTTTTTTTTTTTTCATTTATTTGAGACAACCGGAGCAGCTAGGAATGTTACCCCAATGTGCATTATTAGTTTTTGTGAAAATTTGACAGATGCATTCCAACGTGAACGGAATGTAACTGTACGTTTGACTAACAATGGAGATGTGCTTCGTGTTGATCTCTGCGCCAATTATTACAGGTGCACTATATGATGTCTCGTTTCTTAGGGGGCGGAAAAGGAGTACCTTTGCATTTGAAAGGGCTATTATTATATATATGCACTATCCCGTGTGTGTAGTTCTGTGCCTTCCCTTTCTTTTTTGTATTTCCTCAGAGGCATCCTTCCGACGGCAACATCAAAAGGTGGGTAACAGATATGCAACTCCACGTTTGTGTGTAGGAACCTGTTAGCCACCTCCCCCCTCAGGGTATACACTTCACAAAATGGGTGTATAAAAAAAAAAAAGCGGTACTGAAGAAGCGGTAGCCTCACGATCTCAACAAGCATGTATATATTTACATACAAGCAGCAAGCTACGTATTCCTGCAAACAAATTAATAAAAATCAAGTTAGACGCCATATCGTCCTTGTACAAGGGACATTACTTCTACAGAGCGGAATGGAAAGTAGCAGTTATTACAATTCAAAAACAACAAAACAGAACACAACAAATCACAATGTGAACAACCCAAGAAGAGTAGACCTCGATGTGAGCCCGCGTAAGCACGTAGGCATAACCTAGCGGCACTGACGAAACTAATTATGTGTGTCCCTTTTATGCATGCACAAAATTAAACACAAATAGGAGAGACACTTTTGCTGTGGGTATAGCAGATGCAATCCCCATTTATGTCATGAGGATTTCAAAGGCGCGAAAAAAAAAATAAAAAAAAAAAACTGAATACACTAGAGCTTCAGGGGCGGAACAAAAAACATATGCATATCTACTAAAACGCTACAGCGTGGGTGTCTGTTCTTTTATGCGACGTGTATGTGTCACTATGCTTCTGAAAACGGGGTTTGCATAAGAAGCCTCCCCACAGGAGTAAACACAGTGAGCATATCTTTATATATAAATACACAAATATGCAGATGCACAGGCGAGCATGCATCTACACACTGCGCTGTTACTGCAGAGACATATGCGTGAGATGTGAACACAGGAGGGTCTCAACACGAGAAAAAGGTTAATAATTAAAACGGGTGCAAATCTGTACAGCAGGATGATCGAAACAATGAATCGTGGAATTCACAGAGCACGCATGATGGTTGCATAAAAGGGAGTCTTACTCTTCTCGCCTCTTTCGCCTAAGCGTATGTTTTCCAACACATAGGCATTATTATATGTAGCTCACAAAATTAAGCGTTCATGCGGGGGACATTACATATAGGTATCTGGGTAGAGCGCAGATAGGTATACTTATGTAACACTGCTAACACTGCTGTGCGAAAAAGTCATGTTCTTTAACATGACGCGAGGACCGCGACAAAGGGATATAACCCTACGGAAGTTGCTCGAATGTTGCCCTAAGCGGTGAAGCAATACTGCTACGCCTTCGCACCTGGGCATATATATAGATACATATATACACTACGCATGACTACATACCATCGTATGTAGCACATACGTGAAGGCTCAAAAAGCATATGTCACGTACATGGCACTATGTGTTATGCGTTCCGCTCTTATCTATATGCACAAGCAGTTGTACATCTATGTGCATATAATATGCTGTGATTTTTTTCTTTACAAAATTATAAAAAAGCAAGAAAAATATTTTTTAATATGAACAACAAACGAATCAAATGTACAAATCGAAATCTAACGACGGTATAGTATATGTATATACGAAAATATATATAAATAAATATCTATATAAATATATATATGGCATATATTATATATACGTACAGTATATATGCGTACATTATATATGCGTACATTACATATGCCTACATTACATATGCGTATAATTACATATGCGTTCGTTACATATGCGTTCGTTACATATGCGTACAATTACTATGCGTACATTATTATATGCGTACTTCTTTTTGTAACTTTATAAAATCGAAGAATGAAGGGGATAGAAGAAGGGACTATCTTAGCTTCTATTATATATCATTACTATCTTTTTTTTGTTTGTTCAAAGGATAAATAAAAAAAAAAAAAAAACAGCTGGCTAAACGGGTTTGATATAGTTAGATGCAAATTGATATAGATGTACATAACATATACCATCAGCGCGGGATTTTTTATAGCGATGGTTTACCCCGTACTTAAAAAAATAAAACAAAAAAAAAAATAATAAAGCGTGTATTATTTAATTATGCTAATATAGTGTTACTTGTCATGCAACTTTAATGGTAAAGGTTACAAAAATATAGAGGTGGTATGTACGGCGTAGGCATATAATATATGTACTACTGCGTTACCACTACAATACAGGGGATGTAATTTTTAATACATGCAAAAAAGCAACTGTGCCTTTTTGTTTTGTTTCCTGGCGATTCGACCGAGTTAACCAAATTTTGGTTATTTAAGGGAGGGTTGTTGAACCCTTTAGTTTTTGCGCAAAGGAGAGAAAAAAAATAGTTACAAAAATGGGGGCATATTATATATATAATATATGTAGTATATAATATGTACATAATATTCATACCTATATAATAAGCACAATACTTCTACCGTAGGCCTTACTTCGCTTCTGGCCTTAGAACCGCCGAGATGCCCCGCGAAAGGAGGGGTTGGCACCGCGGCACTTTTTTGCCGCGATTCGCCGAGATATATTCACTATGATTCACCCCGACTCGACGTGAATCTCGCGCGGGTCTCTGCGCAATATTACCTAATATTTTTTTCTCGCCTCAATCGCAGGGGTGAGCGCTGCTATATTATATGACTCATCGTACAGTACAGAAGCGATATTGTTGCATCTATATGTGTGCATAATATTTGCGGGTGAATATTCGCGTGCATTTATCTGTGCTGCAGACGCGGGGGTTGCAAAATTCCGGCGCGCACCAAAAAATTGTACCCCAAATTATCAATATAGGTACGAAATAAATATTTGTATAGATCAAAATATAGTCATTAACATATGTACATCTGAGGGGGATGAAGGGCCAGCGCGGGGCCAAAGCGGGGCCAAAGCGGCAGAGAAAAAAATGTAGCAGCTTCCTACGCATATGCGTACAGTACATTTATGTATACATATGGAGTAGGCGTGGCAAAATAGCATTATGCCAATTTTTGCACTAGGCGACGTTTACCCCTCCGTTTGTAATATGAAGGCACAAAAAAAAAGAAAGTTGACGTTTTTTTCGCTGATGGGCCTACATATGATTCTTCTGCGAAAAGGTACATGTATATTTATTCATCCATGTTATACATACGGCCACGCTCTGTGCATATAGGTGAAGATAGGAGCAGTCTTACGCTTTTTCTTTTACATGTTTTTTTTTTTTTTTTTGCTGAAAAAATGGTTAAATAATTCTTCTCGTTCTTCATTCGCTAGCTGGTTCGCTTGCTCCTTTTTTTTTTTTCTTTTTTTCACATCCCTTTATGGGTTCTCTGAGCCCATCTAGTTGGCACTGCATCGGTGCGAGGTATGCGCTTAGTGCCATCACGTAGCACACGCTTCCCTTTTTTTGGGCCACTTGAGGAAAGCTTTTACGCTTCACAAAATTTGCAACTGCGGTGTTGTTCACCTCCCCCACATGAGTGCGTCGCCACTCGATAGTGTCTCTTCACCCATTTTGTAAATTTCATTTTGCGTATTGCAGAGCGGAAGAGTTGTTTATCCGCCCGGTGGGGTCTCCTGGTCTCTTTGCCAATTTGGGGGGGACTTATTTCCGTCCATCCATCCCTTGATCTGTATTTTATTTTATTTTTCTTTTTTCTTCTCTTTTATTTATTTATTTTTTTTTTTTTTTCTCTTTTATTTATTTATTTATTTTTTTTTGTTTTGTCTTCTCCATCTTGTTCGTCCATGCAGCTCTGCCTCTCCCCAACGTAGGCGTAGAAAGCCGCCTCACGAACGCAGAACTGACGAACCCCTTTTTTTGGGGGGCAGCACAGTTCGTTTAATGTCATAAACAGGTTTGTCCTTCGAGAGTATCTACACGATTTCGTAGCTTCTCCTTTGTTGGAGAATCTTCTTTCGGTTTAATTCTTCACCCGCGGTTTTATTCAGGTTTGTCTTTTTATTTTACATTTTGTTTGTCTCCGTCTCAGGGGCGTTACGCGCTTTGTAGGGGGGGAATTCCTCCACCTCGTTGTTCGTGCAGCTTGCAAATATTTACCCATGCGCATGTCACTTCACTTTTAAAAAAAAAAAAAAAAAAAAACGTTCAACTGTTACATTATACCTCAACTAGGAACAAAATGCGAACATTTAACGCCAGATTGTCAGCAAACATTTGCATTACCCTCCATGTGAATTATACACAAAAGGAAGATAAAAATTTTGGAAACTTTTTTTTTTTTTTATGATAACAAAAAACACATTTACAAAATGATTTGTCTCTTATCACAACCTGCACAACAATAATGTCCGACGTCCATGGTGAGGCAATTCCTTTTGGGCAGTTCCCTCCAAATACGTCCAACACGCTATGTACCGTCAAAAAAGGAAAGAAGAAAAAAAAAAGGGAACCTCTCCCTCATTGTGTAATGATTTGTTTAGTCTCCCAACATTGGTCCACCCATGCTTGCGGCTGGTACCATCGCCGTTTCAAATTTGTCTCCTTCCGCATGTAGAACCGTCCAATCATTTCTCCCTGCGAATGCGCATGTATTCATGATAGACACAGCAGTGAATGGCAAAAAAAAGCTCGCGCCAATTTAGGAATAATAAAAAAAAAGATACCTTGAAAAAAAGGAAAAAAAAAGCTGTAAAACTAAAGCGAAAAAAAAA